CTTCAAAATCATGCCTAAGATAATAAGGTCGGTATGATTTAGTGCTGTGAAACTGCTTTAGAAGCTTTTTTTAGATTTATGACTGTACTTTATAAACTGATGGTTAAATCCTGTGGGAATCATGATTGTGAGGTTTTTAAATCTATTGAAAGAATCTGTGGTTTGAAACCCTGAAGTCCCACATGACCAGATTACAACCTGTGTCTGACTCTAAGTGTGCCCAGTGTGGAAAGACACCGAGGGTAACGTCATGTTTATTTTCACTATGTAAATTTCATGTCTGCCACCCAGATTTTAGTTTTTATTAATCCCAGAAGTCATTTGATGTGAAGCTCCTTTGGAGAACTACTTGACTCTGTTGTACTTGCAAATGTAGGGCTCTGCTTGAAAATGTTTATGACTCGGTGAATTCACAGGCGTGAGCGTTACTGACGTCTTTCTGCCTGTTTGCAGCTCTGAAGAGTGGACGAAGGTCAGTAAGAGTGAGAGGGAGAAGATCGGTGTCACTGTGGATGATGATGGAGAGTTCTGGTGAGTTTTTAGGGCAAAGCTTCCCCCTGTTGGCAGATACATGTGGTGCTTGGCGTCTTTGCACACAGACCTACAACACCACTTTCCGATCCAATTCTTAACCTGTCCTACTGTATTAACACGTCTCTCTCTTTACTTTCTCTTCCTTCACGCAGGATGACATTTGATGACTTTGTTGCCCACTACACGGACCTTGTCATATGTGCTCTCATCAACACAGCCGTCCTGAGTATCCATAAGACCTGGGAGGAGTCCATGTTGCGGGGCTCCTGGCGCTGCCATGATGACCCACTTTTCAACAGAGCCGGAGGCTGCTCCAACAACAAGCACTCCTTCCTCCAGAACCCACAGGTCTTACTTTCTTTCATTCATTCATGGTTTCTCAGATTTTGTGTCAGTGGCAACACTGTGGTAGGAGAAAGACTGAACTCCAACATCACTTTTCTCTGCTCCAGTACGTGTTTGATGTGAAGAAGCCAGATGATGAGGTCCTGATCTGCCTGCAGCAGAAGGATCGCAGAGCCAGACTGAAAGAGGGGCGAGGAGAAAATCTGGCTATTGGCTTCGACATACGAAGAGTGAGCTCAGCACCTGTGTGTGTGTGTGTGTGTGTGTGTGTGTGTTCAGAGATGTCATTACAAAGTTCCCCATGACACCGCTAGTCTGTAAATAAAGGGAGAGAAAAGCACTGATGTCTCTCTGTCCAGGTGGAGGTGAACAGGCTCTACCGTATGCATTCCATCCAGCAGAAGGAGGGTGGGGCCGTCTACTGCAACTCCAGGTCTGTGTTCCTACAGATCATCCTGAAAGAGGGGCGGTATGTCATCATACCCACGACCTTTGACCCAGGCCTGGAAGGAGAATTCCTGCTCCGCCTCTTCACCGACATGTCCTCGGACTGCAGGTAGGGACACTGTTTTAGTCAGTTCTGTTTCCATCGGTTTGTTGGTTAGCAGCGTCATTAGAAACTGAAATGACAAAATATACTGTGAAATAGCAGTTGTGAAAATAGTCAAGTCCGTTTTTATTTGTATAACTCTATCACAAATTTGTGGAATGAATCTGGGACCAATCAGACGCCTCCCTGATGATACTGATGATGGGGAAGAATCTTAACATCCACAGGGGGATATTTACTAAGGTTTTGGCTCATTTTCTGGTGCTAAACAGCGAAATTGCATGTGTTCATATTTACTGATGAAGAAATAAATCAAGAGAAGAAACACGGCACTGCAGGAATTTTAGTGTTTGGTCTCAAGCAATGTGTATTTTAAGGTGTTTCCTTTCAGAGAGACAAAAATCAGGGAGGAGAGAATGTAAATTTATACAAATACTCTCAGCACCTGATTTACCACCGCTGTGACGGAGGGAACTGCAGTTGAAATTTAATGTCAGGGGGATGCAGGTGTAAAATTAGTGACCCTGCTCTCAGCGTGGCGGCTCTCAGTCATCTGAGGTCTTATCACAGTTAAAAATATGTTCAAGGAGGAAGAGGGTGTTTATAAATTACGCCGCTGGCCAGGGGAGAATGTGAGGTACTTGTACAGGCTTTTGGGTCAAACCATGCTTCAATTACTGAACAAAGTAAAAGATGAACTGACTGGCTGGAGACTATGTGACTGAAGTTCTGAAATATATTTGTTGATTTTTTTCAACCATATTAACGTTCAGTCCCTGTAAACTTAGACTTTCTCCCTCTTGGTCCACACATGAACGACGGCCTTCAGGCAGCAGATCCGAAGCCGCTGTGTGTTCAGATTAACACTGCTGTAGCTCAGTCACATCATCACTGTTGGTAATTACATCCATCCATCATCTATACCACTTGTTCCTGATAGGGTCAAGGGGGGCTGGAGCCAATCCCAGCTGACCCTGGGTGAGAGGTGGGGTCCAACCTGGACAGGTCGCCATGTAGACAAACAACCACACACACCCACACTCACTAATGGGAACTTGCTACAAGTTTAGTAAAGATTCCCCACAGTGCCTAAACCTTTTGCACAGTACTGGACATAAGGAGACGTGGCCTGAAGAAGCCAGGCTGCTGAGCAGCACAGTGAAACACACAGTGAACTAAACAGACTCTTCCTACTGCTCAGACACCTGCAGCTGCTCGCTGATTACACCACGGCTTCAGAGCTTAGACAGCATATGGACAGTATGTCTCTGTTGACTCCCTATTATAGCTACGGAACTGAAGGCGGTGCTGACAGGTGACCAGACCTGTCAGCTGAGCCAGCCTTGATCAAAATACTAACCAGTGAGTTTCACAGCTTGATAGTGTCAAAGCTTTCAACCTCGTAAACAACACAAAATGTTTGTGATTTTGATCCAGTCAACACAGGTTTACACCCTGAACTGTAGCTAAACTAATGTCAGAACCAGAGCTCTATTCGGCAATATACTGTAAACATAAGGTCCTAGATAAAAACATAAGAACACCTCTCTCTCTGTCTCCATCTCTCCTGCAGGGAGTTGACTCTGGATGAGCCTCCACAGACATGCTGGTCCGGCATGTTTGGGTATCCCTCTCTGGTCACTCAGGTCCATGTAGTGAATGCTCACGGTCTCCCAGGACAAGACTTGAATGGAGGTAGACTTTTTTTTTTCTTACCGATGACGCAGAAACACTTTGCAGGATATTTGCTTAACAGACTCACTAATATCCAGTATTCAATGACGTTACTGTGGCACTCTGGAGTTCTCTGTGTTAGGTGTTATGTCCTATTACTGTTGTCTTGCAGCCCCAGCTTTACATGTGGACAGGCATTTATATTGTTTGTATCATTTCTAAAACAGCTGCTGTCACCGATGTTGTTTTCCTGTCAGTAGATGGCAGCAGCAGCTTTGTCATGTCAGTGACTGGTACTGTAGTTACACCAGGCTGAATGTAAAACAGCCACAGTGACAGACCGCCACAAACTCTGTCTTTATTTAATACTCTCTGAGGTGTTTGCGTTTAAAAATACTAGAAACATCGGCGTCTTTGATCAGTGTGTCTGACATGTTCCATTATTTTGTATCACTTGTGTATTTATACATAATTTAGAAGCAGACCCACACCTACCCTCACACATGTTCATTGGAGAATACATGTGTGAAAAATGAAGAAGAGATAAAACCCAGAAAAATCAACGCGATCATCTGTAGTCTGGGTTAGATGTGTTTGACATGAGATGGGAGAGCAACTACTTCTGATGAACAGTATTTTTAGAATATAAGCCAGGATTAATCATACACCACTTCGTTAATGTAAATACAAATTATCTGCAGGTCTCAAAAAGTAAAAAAAAAAAAAAACTGTCTCCTCAAAGGAGCAAAACTTAATTGTGCATTACTTAAGTTTGTCAAACTATCCATCAGTTATGAAGCAGAGGCTTTGTGGGACATGTGGGCAAAAGACCCGACAGCTTCTTGAACAGGACTGAAAGAGACACAAAACGTCATGTCGTGTCTCTGATAGTTTTTCCTTGTGTTCATTTTCCTAACTGCGCTCTTAAATAAGATGAAATATCAAAAGTGACCTCGTTCAGGTGCCCTGCTACGATAGGCCTGGTTGGTAATCCATATACGGGTCCTGGTCATGTTAATTGATATGTATTAGTGGGAATTATTGATTCTATATACTGGCAGGAAGCACTGACAGAAGCGTAACTTAAATGTCAATAAATTCATATATTTAATAAACTGCCCTATTTGTTTTTCAAACTTGAAATGGAGTCCTCTGTTCTCAGCCTTTGGTGTGTGTGTGTGTGTGTGTGTGTGTGTGTGTGTGTGTGGAGCAGACCCCTACGTCATCATCCGTTGTGAAGGAGAGAAAGTTCGCTCTCAGGTCTATAAAAACACATGCGACCCTGTCTTCGACATCAAGGGGCTCTTCTACAGGAAGAAAGCCAGCCAGCCAATCATCATTGAGGTGTGTGTGTGTGTGTGTGTGTTTTCACCCGATTATAGCTGACAGAAAAATGTCTGTGTGTGACTCCCTCTCTCGCTGTGTCTCTCAGATCTACAACTTTAACGTGGTGAATGACTCCTTACTGGGTATGGTGACGCTGCCAGCCGAGCCGGGTGCTTTCCAGCAGGTGCTCAACCTGAAGGGCAGGGGCGGTCGTCCTAACAGCATCTCCCTCGGGACCGTCACTGTTGCTGTGGTGACGAGCACAGAGTTCACCAGCATATGAAACCTGAACAGACAATCGTCGAGTGAGGTTTGAGTGAGCGGTCTGAACATTTACCAAACTACCAGTTTACCACCAAATATTGTAAACAGCTTTGCCGATGAGCGTGACTCTTCATCTTGGGCGCCGGGTTTAAATTTTGGGAGACGGGCTTTACTTTATCGAATATGAAACCTGATTCTTTTACTGTGTTTTAGCTTCATAAATATGTGTTTACATTATGATGTACTGGGCGAATCGGGTCTGGTTTCAGTGTAGCATCAGCATTGTTTACACTTCTCTGGGTTACCTTTACCTTTGACTGGTGATCATGTTGGGTCTTTTAGCAGTTTCTTTTGTACTGTCTTGTCTCAGTTCCTTGTGTGTCGAAAGAAGCTACACAAATAAATTTATTTTACCAGTAGCTGGTACAAATCACACTGTGCCATTAGCGCCATTAAATACATCTCGTCTTCAGTGTTGCAGTGATAGTACCGTACAGTTACACCTGCCAGTTGTTACCTTTGGCAGGGACCTTAGCAGCATATTGACATCAGCTGTTCTGCTTTCGAGTGTCTGCTATGGCTTATGCTGTGAAAGCAAAGCAGACGAACAACAGGACTCTGTGACTGTTGATGATTTAGCATGACTTTAAAATCTGAACCATCGCTGATAGTGAACTGTTCTCCTAAAGGTGGGGTGAAGCTCCACTATTTCATTAAGTTTGTTCTTTCTGCACAGTTAAAATGTAAAAATTCTCCTCTCATGCAGTTTGTTACTGGTTCTAGGTCAGCTCCATGTCTGCACGCTGCTAGTAATACAAGTAACCTTCTTCTCTCAGCTCCAGGGCCTTTATGTTAACTTAACACCCACCTCCTCAAAATGCTCTTGTTTTACTATTATTTGAATAATTTTGTTTGATTTTTTTTTTATTGGCTGCTTAAATTATTCAGGAATATTGTTACTGGTGTAATTAATTAAGTTTATTTTGACTTTACCAGATTTGTTATGTTAATATAAAAAACGATCAGGTGCATAAATAGTTTTTTTTCCCCTAATTTTCCAACATATAAAGCTACATAACACAGTTCTGGTATTGTTAGGGTGACTTTTATTTTTAGATAGAAATGAATAAAATTAGTTAGGGGTTTTTATTTATAGCATATATAAGTTTATATATTTTAATCTCACAGTTATGTTTATGTTTATGTAGTTACATATCCACATATCACCCTATGTGTTCACTGAGTCACTGGTCAACATTTACTGTGTTAGCCAATACTGAGCTAAAATGACTCAGTCGTTAGGGGCATTGTTGGCCTTCAGTAGTAGTAGGGGGGAAACTTCTTCTCATAGGTAGCATTTTAGCTTCTGGGGTTAGGTTCCTTAAAATATTTCCACTGTTAAGACTCAGTTTTATTTGTGAGTAACTCCAGTGTCTCCGTGTTTTCAGATCTGTCTGGGGGTAGCAGCTCAGTACTGGGGAAGTTTGCATGAATTTGACCTCTGAAAACAGGAGGGGTGTTATTCTTGGGGGACTACTAAAAGTTCCTATGGTCTGAGTTGCCTAGGCCTGTATATTGGCCCGGTCACATACACACAACGCAGAGTATATGAGATTCTACGGACAGGAGTGTCACACATGGCAGCGCCCGTTACAAGTGCATTGCTCTCAGATATATTTCGACGTGTGTCGGTCCCAGTGCCGCCTCTGGGGAAGTGTGTCGGTCCCAGTGCCGCCTCTGGGGAAGTGGGTCGGGCCCAGTAACCGCGCCGGGGAAGTGGGC